CGTCTCAACCTCTCCTCAAAGGAAGTCTTAAGTGTGGACCCAGGTGCTGCTGAGGGGGGCCTGGTAGGGCGGGGGAAGATAAAAGGCTTTCTGGAGGCCCTCTGACCCCAGCCATCCCACGGGAAATGAGTGAGGAGGCTGCTGGCTGGCAGACAAGCAGGTGTGCCCTTAAGAAGCCACAGAGATTAGCCGGGGCTTATCCAAACCTCGGCAGGAGGCAAATCTCTCCTGGTTCTCTCAGGAGACCTCAGTGCTCCTCTGGCATCAAATAAGCCAGATGCAGAATGAACATAAACTTGGCCTTTTGTGAATCTAGGGCCCCAGACTGGGGGTCTGGACACCATCATATTCACCAGGGCCCCAAAGGGAATACATTTTTAGAAAGTAAATTTTAAAAAAGGAAAAGAGGGAGAAAAATGACTTCAAGGCAGGATCACAGATAGATGAAGCTTCACTTATGTTTGAATCTTTGTCTTTGGAGCAGTTGTCTGCCACCCATATTAGACCAAAAACTGCTTTTGTCTCTAGAAAACATGACTTCTGGGGAAAATTGGTGATATTTGCTCTTTAGCAAAGGTAAAAAAAAAAAAAAAAAAACAGAAGACTCAAAGATTGAGAGTTCTCTTTCTCAGAAACTTCAAGGGAAGAAAGCAAATTAGCAACTTTAACAGTGAGAGGAGGGGAGGAAAGAGGTCCCCACTGGTATAAAATATGTCAGCTTTGTACTGTGTCAAAGTATATGATCTGCAAGAAAGAGCCGTGGCATTAGATGCAGCAGATCAAATGTGCGTTGAAATTCTGATTCTTCTATCTATCTGCTGTGTGACTTTAAATCAGTCAACTAACCTCTCTGAGCAACAAACATGCATCCCACCCTAAGATGGCCCCAGCAATGGCTCCTTCACAGAGTAGTCTGAGCATTAATAAGATAACTTATGTAAACACCTGGCATGGTAACTAGCACATAGAAGGCGCTAAACAAAAGTTAGCTCCTTCTTTTTTTTTTTTTTTTTTTGAGACAGAGTCTTGCTCTGTCGCCAGGTGCCAGGCTGGAGTGCAGTGACACAATCTCGGCTCACTGCAACCTCTGCCTCCCAGGTTCAAGCAATTCTCCTGCCTCAGCCTCCCGAGTAGCTGGGACTACAGGCACACGCCACCACGCCCAGCTAATTTTTGTATTTTTTAAGTAGAGACAGGGTTTCACCATGTTGGCCAGGATGGTCTGGATCTCTTGACCTCGTGATCCGCTGGCCTCCGCCTCCCAAAGTGCTGGGATTACAGGCATGAGCCACCATGCCCAGCCAAAAGTTAGCTCCTTCTACTTTTTCCCCTCTTTCACCAATCCAATCATATATATATGATCTATATAAATAGGTATTATATATTACATATCTACTATATATTACATTAAATGATGTATTACATATTTTATATATCTACAATGTATATTATATAATTGATATAATATATAATCATATATCATTTATATGGAATTGATATATCATTTATATTGTAAGTCACAGATATCAATTATATAATCTCATATATCATGTCATAGATATCAATTATATATCATATATTATAGATTTATATACAATATATAATACATATTATAGATTATATATATCCATAATGTTTCATATATCTTTCTCATATAAACCAAGAGATAAAATCCCTACTATTTTGAACTTGTAGAAACCCACTCTCATCAGGATAAGTCACTTGCCCAAACTTTACATAGGTGGAAAGAGTAGAGGTTAGAACACAGACCTCCCCTATGCCCTTGCTAGATCTTGCTGTTTAATTGGCATCATAAAGATGGCCTAATACCCAGTCTCAGAACCATCCAATAATGGCCATAGCAGAAGAGGGACGTTGGAATCAGATACCAGTATATCACGGGCCACTTCTTGCAGAGGTGTCCATCAGGGAGATGGCAGTTGTAATTGTCTCTCAAACATGGTGGAAACTGGCTCCCAAAACATGTGGGGCTTACAGAGTATGGGTGGGACTGGTAGGGGTGGTACTCATATATATATATATATTTTTTTAAGATAGGGTCTCACTCTATTGCCCAGTCTGGAGTGCAGTGGCACAATCTCAGCTCACCACAAACTCCACCTCCCCTGTTCAAACGATTCTCCTGCCTCAGCCTCCTGAGTAGCGGGACTACAGGCACACGCCACCACTCCCAGCTAATTTGTTTTGTATTTTTTAGTATAGATAGGGCTTGGCCATGTTGGTCAGGCTGATCTCGAACTCTTGACCTCAAGTGATTGTCCCACCTTGTTCTTTCAAAGTGCTGAGATTACAGGTTTGAGTCATCGGGCCCAGCCTTAATAATTTTAACTAGTAGTGTTACCAAGAGCTCTTTTATCTTTTAAACTGGTTGTGCCACATATATATCTAAGTATAAGACAATTCACTATGGAGAGGTTGAAAATGTTGAGCTGTCTCTAATTCAATAACAACAACAACAACAATAATAGTAATTTTATTTTCTTTTCCAAGCTCCTCTCTTCACAAGCACTTATGGCAAAACAGGAATATAACTCTGAGGACTGATGCACAGCCTTCCCATTAACTATCCTAATTATTTTTGTGGTAGGAAGTTTCTCTGTGAGAGGTCAGATCATAGTAAACCTTGTCTTTGCTCCCAGAAATAGTTGAATTTCTACTCCTGTTGGAATTGTCTTGTCATCAATATCTAATGTTTCATAATTTTAGAACTAGAAGGAATCATATACAGTGGTAAGTTTCCCCTCTTGCTTTCTAAATGATGAAATTAAGGGAGACTCAGAGATTTGGAATAACTCATCCAAAGACAAGAAACAAATGTGGTCACCTCTCCGACTATGCTTTGCCCAGAGTTTCAGGGACCCATGTGTGGATAAAAGAAATAATCTTCTTTGGCGATCTTTATTTTCCCCACAGAGCTAAGTGTGCACAGAGCCATGATAAAGGCACTTAAGTCCAAAAGAGCAAAATTATTATGACAAATATCCAAATAGTTCATTAAACATTCTCAGGAAAAATGTAAACAAATAAAATGCCAAAAAACCCTTGAAAGCTTTGAAAACAGCATTGTCTTTTTAATTCAGAGCTTTCTTTGTGGATTGTCAAAGCACTTAAAATTTTTGAAACTGCTTTAATTATTATTATTAAGCTAGAAAGTCACTAAAAATATAATATTTGCTTTATTTTCATTATATCTAATGAAGTTGTTTCATGCAACTAAAGTTAACTGAGCACTTACTATGTGCCAGGTAGATGCTAAGTGCTTAGAATACAATAATGAAAAGCCACAGTCTCTCTGCTCAAGAAATTCAGTCTAGGGTAGGGTAAAACAGGTACTACACAATATAGATCAAAGGCCTAAATGTAAGACCTAAAACTATAAAACTCTTAGAAGAGAACACAGGAGAAAATTTTCATGACACTCGATTTTGCAATGAATCCTTGGATATAACACCAATACTACATGCAACAAAAGAAGAAATAGATGAACTGCATCAAAGTTAAAAGCTTTTGTGTACTAAAAGACAAAATTAACAGAGTAAAAAGACAGTTCATCAGATGGAACAGAACATTTGCAAATCATAGATCTGATAAAGGATCCAGAATATATAAAGCACTACTACAACTCAACAACAACAACGACAACAACAAACAGACAACCTGATTCAAAAATGAGTAAAGGACTTGAACAGACATTTCTCCAAAGATATATAAGTAACCAACAAGCACAGAAAAAAATAGCATCACCAATTATTAAAGAAGTGCAAATCAAAACCGTGATGAGATACCACTTTGCTCCTATTAGGATGACTACCATTAAAAAAAAAAAACAAAAAACAGAAACTAGTAAGTATTGATGAAGATCTGGAAAAATTGAAATCCTTACTGGAATATAAAATGGTGCCACTGCTATGGAAACTAGTGCAGTGGTATCTCAAAAAATTGAAAATATAATTAACACTTGATCTCTCAATTCCAGTTCTGAATATGTATCAAAAGAAATTGAAAGCAGGGACTCAAAGAGAGATCTGTAGCAGCATTATTCTTAGTAGCCAAAAAATGGAAGCAAACCAAGTGTCTATGGATGGATGAATGAATATATAAAATGTGGCCTATACATACGATGGAATATTATTCAACCTTAAACAAGAAGGAAGATCGGACACATGCTATAACATGGATGAACCTAAAGGAAATTATGCTAAGTGATGTAAGTCAGTCACAAAACAACAAATATTGTATGAATCCAATTATATGAAGTATCTACAGTTCAAATTCCTACAGGCAGAACATAGAATGGTGGTTTCCAGAAGCTGAGGAGAGGAAGTAACGGAGAAATATTTTTAATAGTACAGAATTTCAGTTTTGCAAGATGAAAAGAGTTTTGTGGATGGATAGTGGCGATGCTAGCACAATGGTGTTAATCGGCTTACAACTACTGGATGTACACTTAAAAATGGCTAAGACGGTAATTTTTGTTATGTGTTTTTTTAACCAAAATTAAAAGAAATATACAAGCACTACAATCATCATTATTAGTAAACTCACCAAATGCCAGCATAGGTCTCCAGGGACTATATTAGGTGGAATCCCTATAGAAATCCACTCAAAAAGAAATCATCAGATTCTACTAAAAGTATTATGTGATATACTGAGAGTAGAAGAAAAGAAGTTTTGTTGAAAAAAGGTGGTAAAGTGCAGAGCCCTATCTAGTCTTTTTTGGAGACCATAAATCTCACTAGAACTTTATAAAACCAATAATGCTAAATTTTTCCATTAACAAAAATCATTTTAAATGCCATTTCCATTTCTATAGAATATACACATTAGGACAGACAAACAGTTTTTGCTATTGACTGTTGAGAGGCTATGCTTCATAGTATATGGCAGGGGCATGGGTACGCTCTCTCAGGCATGGGAAATCTTTGTTGTTATTTGGTACATTTTAAAAAGGAATGTTAAACTCACTGGTAAGGACTTACCGGTTGTACTTCCTCAAGGAGACACTCTAGATCTCAGTTCCTCTTAGTAGTGAAAGTGTCCTGGAATGTCATCAACTTGGAAAGAGGTGAACAACTTGATGTGTAACACCAGGATCTTCACTGAGAATGAATATAAGAAAGATCAATTATCTAAGGTGCAGGTAAAATAATTTCCCATGACCCCAACATTCATAGGCGTCATCTAATCTATCAGTGCCCTCAAAAAGCCACACCTTTACTCATAGCATTTAACAAGCTCTCCTTTTATGTCTTCTCTTTGCTGGCTGCTGTGCTCGGTTAGGGGTATGCATAAACAAGATGCAATCCCTGTATCTGATAACCTTACATCCTAGAGTGTGATGAAGCACCAAGAATCAATGACAATGTCATTATATGGGATATATTTTGGTTTCGTCTGCATAAGCTAAAGAAAGCACACACATCTCCCCTCATACCACTTCCCAACAAGACAGCGAAGCCCACAGAAACAAAAAGTGAATCAAGTAATGCCACTTCATGCATTTTGTCCAATGAGGTGACTGTCTTAAATCCATATTCTCTGATGTCCAGGGTCCCCCTCATGAGATGCCCAATCTCTGTCTGAACTCGGCTGGAGCCAGAAATCAAAACTGAGATTATAGTCTCCCATTCTCATTCAAGCTCATGAGCCTCCCAAATAGGAAACACTCCCTGTCCCTTGGCCACAGAATAGGCAGCCATTTAATCAGAAAGGCCCAGCCAGCTAGTGCAAATGGCAAATCCATCAGCAGCATTATCCAAATGGTAAGGTTGGCAGTATTGTCTTCACGAATTAAAAATGACACATCACAACAATTACATGGCTCTGATAGTCCTCACTGCCTGACATGCTGGTTCAGCCTAATTCCCAGACTGTTTCAGACACCCAAACAAATTAACACATTTCCTGATGATACAAAATTGTGTTGCTCTGTGTGTGTGTGCGTGTGTGTGTGTGTGTGTGTGTGTAAACCTCCATACAACCACATCATCATTAATTAAGTATTTATCAGAGTTCCGCTGACCTGTGACAAGCATCAGCAATTGGCCCGTGGAACATTGGTGTTGGCTATTTTTAAAAGCCAGCTTCTAGCCTCGATCAGTGGAACATGTTAAACCTCAATGAACAGCTCTCACTATCTTTTGTACTGGATCCATACTCCAGGCTGAATGAAGCTTTTAGAACCAGCAAGAACCAGATGGCCCTCCAAGATCATTTTGAATGTTTGGATCTGAGTCATTTGTATGCGGAAGCCTTCACAAAATAGCAATCTGGGGAACATGCTCCAGGCTGAGTCCAGCTTTCCAGACAGCCCATCTTTGCCTACAATTGAGAAGACAAGCACAATATTGTAGGGTTCCACAAAAATATTGCAGCATATATCTATATGTGTAGCACCAAATACATGGAGTGTCCCAGTCAGGCTGTCACTACAATGGTAGTTCGCCACCACTCTTCCTCCTCACTCTCCCTAATTATTTTTCTTCTTTCTATTGTACCTATAGTTTCTCTTCTAGCACAGGCATAAAGCCAGCTTTGTGAATCAGCCAGCAGAGGGTACTACAATACCGGTGCAATAATCCAAATCACAGCAAATTTACAGCTGAAAAAGATTTAGACTAATTAAAAAGGGCTTCACTATTATTACGTGCTTAGAGCTTTTAGCCAGAAAGAAGAGGCCAGTGGGATGGAAGAGATGGAACCAAAACTGGTAGACAGGGAGTGCTCTTCAGAAGAGGAGGGAAAGCAGGAGTGTAGGTTCAGTATCACTACTCCGGGGGTGAGGGAAACCTAGATTCAAAAATGAGAAGGAATCAAAACTAAGGGGTCAGCCACTTCTATTCACCCTAGAGAAACTTTTTAAATACCTGTAATTGAACATTTATAACAGTTCTATTTATAATCACCCCAAAGTGGGAACAACCCAAATGTCTTTTAATCAGTGAATGAAGAAACCAAGTGTGGTATATCCATACAATGGAATACTACTCAGTGATAAAAAAGAAGAGATTATTAATACATACAGTAACAGGGATGAATCTCAAAGGCATTATGTTGAGTAGTAGAAACCATTGTTGAAAAGAAAGTTACAGGCATATGATTCCATTTAGATGACATTCTCAACAGATCAACAGTTGCCAGAGATTGGGGCTGAGGAGAAGGTGTAACTATAAAGAAATAGCATGAAAGAATTCTTTGGAGTCATGGAACTGTTTTGTATTTTGTTATTGGTGGTGATTACATCAATCTACACGTGTTAAATTTATAGGCCTGTACACCAAAAAAATTAATGCCAGTGTTTCAACTGAATGTAAAATTCTTTCATTAATGGTATGCCAAATTTAAAAAAGAAAATTTTGAAAAGAAAAAAATACATTAAAAAAAGATGGAACCTGAGGGCAGAATGGTATAAGCAGACAAACAGCAAAGCCAATTTGTTGTCTCAACAATAATGTATAGAGGAGGTAAATTATGAGAAGACAGAGTTGAGTTGAGACTTGGAGGACAGGCTAACAGGAAATTGGTGAGAATATCAGGTTCCTAACCCTCAATTTGTTGTTCTGAACAGTGGTGTTTCACTAAGTACCAACCAGCAGCTTCAGCTGAAGGGACCAAAGAAGCCACCTGGCCCCACATGGTAGTGATGGAGCAAGAAGGTCACTAGTCAGAGTTGGTGCAGGACCAGAATCTGCCCACCTTTAGGAGCCAACATCTATGATGGTGTAGAACAGAATCAAGTTAATTCTGGTAAGTCATCATCCATGACAGTGCAGACAGCCTCAAGGTAATTCTTCACCTCACTCGCTGGTAGGGATAGGCTCATTACCTTTGGTCAGGTGTTTAGTTGAGAGAGGAAGTGACAAAAACTAGATAAATCTAATCTAACCTTCTCATTTACAGATGAGGAACCTGGGAGAGCAAAGTAGTATGAGTCCTCCAAATTGCACAGCTTGTGAATGCCCTTCAGGGCTCTGTATACTGACCTGGGACTAGGGACCAGGGATGGTATTTCTTCTCATCTGTCCAGGTAGGTGAGATTGTGTTTTACATTTAAAAGATAGCAAGACAAACAAAGGTGACTCCACAGTATGCCATTAGAATCCATTGAAAAATATACTACCTTCCATAAAACCCTTGTTGTTGTTCTTTTCTCAGATGAATTGCTCGTGAATTCCCGTGTCTGATTCTTGTATCAGCCTTCCCTTCTTCAAGCTATTCAATCCAATGATTAGACTGCTGATTGCAAATAGTCCAAGAGTTCTTATCTATCAAATTGCCTCTTATGCCTACCCATGTTTTTTGTTTCCATCTAACTTTGGAGAGCTCAGAAGAGGGAAGACAGTCTCACACATTGCAAATGTGGTGCTCTTAGATTAAATGGTTATGTGAAAAAAGTCCTGGTTGAGAAGTTGAGACACAGGTTTTGCTCCAGATTTACTGATAACTGCATGTGAGATTTTAGGTAAGTAAGTCTCTTTCTTTCTCTGGGCCTTAATTTCCTCCTCTATAAAGTGACCCAGTTATATTTGAAGATCTTTAAGGTACTTTCTAGTCTTACAATGTTTCACTTTTGTGTTTAGTCTTACATGTAAATGATAAAGAAACTGATGCACAAAAGAACTTATAATTTTCAGTTTAATTAAAAAAATATGTACTTAGAGTCTATTTTCAGGCTATGCACTAGCCATGAGGTATATTAAAATAATTAAGAAATAAACCCTACCTTAAAGGACATACAACCTATTGGATTAGAACAAGAGTCTGGAGTCAAATGGTATAGATTCAAGGACACTGCTCTACTTGGAATGACTCATACCGCTTATTTAACCTCTCTGAACCTATTTCTTCATCTATAAATTGTGAATAATAATAGCTCCTCCTGGGAGTGAAGAATAAATGGGAGTATATTAGTTTTTGTTATTAAGTCATTCATATTACTATCCTGCCCTCTTGAAATGGCATTTTTCTTCGTTGCCCCATAACTTTTGGCAAATGATCTCCATTTTTAATCTCTCAAAGCTGAATAAGCTATTAATACTTTCAGATGGAACTCAAGTTTCACTTCTCTAAGAAGATGTATCTGTCTGCTCCAGACAACACAGATCTCCCTTGCCTCTGGTTTTCTGTTGCCAGTGTTTAGCATTTCAATAGTACTGTCTATTGCTTCACAATTGCCCTGGGTATCTATGGTTTTAAGCTCTCCTGAACTCCAGTTCTTTATGTTATCAATTGCTATAGTAACTTCAAATTCTACCTGTATCAAGTAGAATCCACAATTATATCCAGAAACCCTACTCCTCTTCTTGGGCTCATTTCAGTTTATAGTATCTCGGTCACTTAAACTAAACACCTGTTTGTCATGTTTCCTTTTTATCACGCCCTCATCCGATCAGTCCTATGTAATTCTAACTCATGTGTCTCTCAAATCCATTCTTTATCATCTCCATTGTCACAGCCTTACTTAAGTACCTCTTGGCTAAATTCAAGCAATGGTAGAGGGAAGGATTTGTCAGTATCACCTAGCAAGCATTTTTCAAAATGCTTACCTTCCCATATTATCACATCAGAAGTGTGGTTGAAGGAGAAGACAGAAGAGTGCAGGAAAAAACAGGCTTGTGTATTTTGCAAAAGTTTTTCAGGTTATTCTTATAGATTTTTCCATTCCTGTTGAGAATCACTGTCTTAATCTTTCTCCTTCCAATCTTTCCTGTCCCTCCTGCCCAAGTTATTTTTCAAAACTTCTGGTTAATCAATAAAGGCTCTTCACTGTCTTTCTTCAGGCTGGCTTTTACATCCTGCTCCAGGCCACTCTCTTGACCTTGTTTTCTTCAATTGCTTCCATGCCTATGCTAGTCCATTTGTAATTGCATAAAGACATACGCAAGGCTGGGTAATTTATTTTTAAAAAGGGAGAGAGATTTATTTGTCTCATAGTTCTGCAGGCTATAGAAGAAGCATGGCAGCCGGGTGCTCATGCCTGTAATCCCAGCACTTTGGGAGGCCGAGGTGGGGGGATCACAAGGTCAAGAGATCAAGGCCATCCTGGCCAACATGGTGAAACCCCATCTCTACTAAAAATGCAAAAATTAGCTGGGTGTGGTGGTGTGCACCTGTAGTCCCAGCTACTCAGGAGGCTGAGGCAAGAGAATCACTTAAACCCAAGAGGCAGAGGTTGCAGTGAGCTGAGATGGTGCTACTGCACTCTAGCCTGGCAACAGAGTAAGACTCTGTCTCAAAAAAAAAAAAAAAAAAAAAAAGAAGCATTGCACTAGCATTTGCTTCTGTTAAAGATCTCAGGAAGTTTCCAGTCATGTCAGAAGGTGAAGGTGGTACAGGCGCATCATATGGCTAGAATGGGACTCAGAGAGAGAAGGGAGAGGACTCAGATTCTTTGAAATACCCAGATCTTATGTGGACTAACTGAGCAAGAACACTCATCATCAAAGGGATTGCACAAAGCCATTCAATAGGAATCTGTGCCCATGACCCAATATCCCCTACTAAGCCCCGTCGTCAACATTCGGGATGACCTTTCAACATGAGATTTGGAAAGGACAAACATCCAAACCATATCATTTTCCCCGGTCCCTGAAATCTCATGTCCACATATTGCAAAATTCAGTCATCCATTTTCAACGGTTCTTCAAAGTCTTAACATGTTCTAGTGCCAACTCAAATATCCAAAGCTCAAAATCTCATCTGAATATGAGATCCTTCTACCTATGGGCCTGTGAGATCAAAAACAAGTTATTTATTTCCCAGATACAATAGTGGTAGAGGCATTTTGTGGACATTCCCATTGCAAGAGGAAGAAGTTGACCAAAAGAAAGGGGCAACCAGCCCCACGCAAGTTTGAAACCCAGCAGGGCAGTCATTGAATCTTAAGGCTCTAAAATAATCTCCTTTGACTCCATGTCCTGCATCCAGGGCACACTAGTCCAAGGGGTGGGCTCCCAAAGCCTTCAGCAGCTCTACTCCTGCGGCTTTTGGAGGGTATAGCCCCCATGGCTGCTCTCATGAGGTAGAGGTGAGTGTCTGCAACTTCTCCAGGCTCAGAATGTAAGCTGCCATTCTTGGGTCTGGAAGGCAGCAGCCTTGTTCCCATAGCTCCACTAGGCAGTGCCCCAGTGGAAATTCTATGTAGGGGCTCTAACCCCACATTTTTCCACTGCATTTTCCTAGCGGATGCTCTCTGTGGTGGCTCTGCCTCTGTAGCAGGCTTCTGCCTGGGCACTCAGTCTTTCTCGTACATCCTTTGAAATCTGGATGGAAGCTGCCTAGCCTCCTTCACTCTCGCATTCTGTGCACCTGCAGGCCTCACATGTGGAAGCTGCCAAGTCTTACCAAGCCTTGCACTTCCTGGAGCTTTTGACCTGAGCTGCACCTGTGGCCCTTTGAGCTGAGACTGGAGCCAAAGTGATTAGGATGCAAGGAACATCTTCCCAGGGTGGCATAAAGAAGTAGCATACTGGGCCTGGCCCATGAAATCATTCTTTCCTCATAGGGCTCTGGGGCTGTTATGGAAGAGGCTGCCTTGAAGATCCCTGAAATGCCTTCAAGTCCTTTTCCCTATTGTCTTGGATTTGCACCTGGCTCCATTTTAGTCATGCAAGTCTCTCTTGCAAGTCATCGTTCCACAGACCACTTGTATTTCTCTCTTGAAAATGCTTTTTTTGCTTCTTTATCAGATAGCTAAGCTCCAAATTTTTATTCTTACAGTTCCAAAATTAAGTCCTTTCTTTGCTCCTGTATCTGATTATAGGTTGTTAGAAGCAGCCAGGTCTTGAATGCTTTGCTGCTCACCAGATATTCTAGGTTATTACTCTTAAGTTCAAGCTTCCTCAGATCCATCGAGTATAAACACAATGCAGCCAAGTTCTTTGCTAGGGCATAACACAGGTGATCTTTACTGTAATTCCCAATAACTTCCTCATTTCTGTCTGAGACCTTGTCAGCCTAGCCTTCACTATTTATATTTCTATTAGCATTTTGTTCACAATCATTTAACTATTGTCTAATATGTTCCAAACTTTCCCTCATCTTCCTGTTTTCTTCTGAGGTCTCCAAACTCTTCCAACCTCTGCTCATTAACCAATTCCAAAGTCACTTCCACATCTGCAGATATCTTTATAGGAATAGCAACACCCCACTCCCAGTACCAATTTTCTGTTAGTCCATTTGTGTTGTCATTAAGAAATATCTGAGTCTGGGTAATGTATAAAGAAAAGAGGTTTGCACTGGGGCACGATGGCTAACACCTGCAATCCCAGCACTTTGGGAGGCTGAGGCAGGTGGATCACGAGATCGAGAGTTCAAGGCCAGCGTGGCCAACATGGTGAAACCCCGACCTACTAAGAATACAAAAATTAGCCAGGTGTGGTGGCACATGCCTGTAATCCCTGCTACTCAGGAGACTGAGGCAGGAGAATCACTTGAATCCGGGAGGTGGAGGGTGCAGTGAGCCGAGATCGCACCACTACACTCCAGCCTGGGCAACAGAGCAAGACTTTGTCTCAAAAAAAAAAAAAAAAAAGGAAAGAGATTTAATAAGCATGGTGCTAGCATCTGCTTCTAGCAAGGGCCTCAGGAAGCTTCCAATTATGATGGAGAGAAAAGGAAGTACGGGTGCCTCATAAGGCAAGAGCAAGAAGGGGTAGGTCTGAAACTCTTTTAAACAACCAAATCTCATGTGAAGTAACTGAACAGGAACTCACTCATCACCAAGGGGATGGTGCTAAACCACTGATGAGACATTTGCCTCCATGATCCAATCTCCCCTTCTAGGCCCCACCTCCAAAATTGGGGATCACATATTAATGTGAGGTTTGGAGAGGACACATATCCAAACCATTATCAATGCCCCACAAGTTCCAGCCAAACCAAAGTATACCTTGTTTCTCTGAATACAGCAGAGCCTTTCACAACCCCAAGCACTGGTGCATGCTATCTCATCTTCTTGGGATTTTCTTCTGTTCTCATTTCACTCTTCCTGCCTGGGAGAATTCCACTTAATTTTCAATGCTGAGATCAAATGCCACCTCTTCCATAAAGTCTTAAGAAATTTCTAATTCCAGGCAGAATTAGTCACTCCTTCCTCTACATATCTTCATATCACTCTATTCACAGTGCTAGGACACTGAATAGCAGCTTGGGTAGCCCACCTTTCTTAACTCCGTCCAAAAGGATCTGGGTTCCTCCTTTGGTCTCCTAAAAAAATTTTTAGACCTCTGTTATGGTCTATACCCTATGCCACTCTGTGTGTATGTGGTGTGTTATATAACCTGCTTGTCACTTAAATTAGACAACAATCCCCCTCAAAGATAGACACTGCCTTATCATTTAACTTCCCAGCATGAAGCAAACATTCCACAGTTTTAATGGACACTAGATAAATAATTCTTTAGGCAAGATTCAGATTACGCAACATCTTCTCAGGAAGCCTTTCCTAGCCCTAACAAGTGGCAGTCAGCTGCACCTGTCACATCAGCACCCCACATGTCGCACATTCTGTGAAATTACCTGCTTATGAGTCTGTATCCTTCACTAGACTGCAAGTTCCTTCTGGGCAGCAACAGTGTTTTTATCTCTGTCTTACCATGGCACATTGCACAGTGCCTGGCAGACAGTTGTACTCATCAGTGTTCCAGAACAACTAAACTGAATTTACTGTAATTTCCTTGCAGATGATAAACTCTCCATGTGCACTTATGGCATCTTTTACCACTCTCGAATTTTTGACAGCATCTTCCTCCAGGCCTGAATTGAGAAAACATTCAAACAATATTTTTCAATAGATAAACTATTATTAAATATTTCTGATAAGTTTAGGCCTGTATATGAGAGGATGGAGTGTCCCTCTGAGATGTGTTCCCAGGAAAGGAAGGATTTAGTCCTTCAATGGCTGTACCCCAATTCTGTTTGTTGTCGTGTGTGTGTGTGTGTGTGTGTGTGTGTGTGTATCCTGATATTTTAGCAATGATCAGTCAAGCCTCCAGTAGGTTGGATATGTCACTGATTCAATCTCAGCTTATTGACTTGGTTCCATACTAGCCACTTTCCTCCTCTCCTGTGGTCCCAATATATCCACCAGATTGGCATATTAACCTTGTCTAGAAATTTTTAAAAATTAAAAGGGACATGGAAAGGACATTTGGGGGAAATTTTTAAATAATGCCTACTCATGAGACAAGTGCCATTCCAACAAAGCTGAGGGTTGGGTCATTGCTCAGTGCATTCATAATACATAGTTACAATGCTACTGTGTGATATGTTTTATTTTAAGCATAAAATAAAGCATGTTTTATTATGTTTTTAAAAGCACAAACATGAAAAGAAGCTTGCTTTTTTTCCATTGTCTAAATAAAATAATTTTTTACAAATTTATAAATTAATCAACCATTGTTGAATACCTGGGCATAACTTAGCTGACCATATCCAAACATTAAGCTAGCTAATGAGCAACGAATGAGAAGGTAGTTTTTCTAGAAATTGAAAAATCACATTAACTTGATGTAAATAAAGAAAAAACAAGCTCAACATTGATCATAGCATATCAACTGGGAGGAGGAATGGAAGCACTGTTGCCATCATAATATATCACAGTCGCAGAGATGTCAAAAAATTTTAAGGGTTTTTCCAGATAGGTCTAGTATGAAATTACTTGGAGGCAAAAAATAATGACACTGCAATTCTTACTTAAAGTAAAACTCATGGGATATCAGTGAACTTTAACTCACATCTTATGATTTTATTTAAAAGTCCCCAGAGTCCTGATTACTCCAAAATTCTGTGATCTGGGATTGATGATTTTCCTCTCTGCAGTGAGGTCATTGATGTGATTAGCTGCAATGCAGTATTTAAGGCTCCATTGAGAAGAATGAAATAAAGTGAAGCATTGAGGCACTTGTCCAGATTAGTCTTATAAAATCTGATACTAAATGAAAAAAAAAAAAAGTTGGTGTATACTTGAATTGTTCCAGCTGACTACCTATACAACCAAAACTCACTAGTATAAAATGGGATGATGTGTAATATCCAAA